GGGAAATAAGGACTTTATTGCACATTTGTAAACCTCCTGATTTATACTGTTGTCATATTATTTTGCCTTGAGCCCAGCCAAAGTGCATTACAGTCTGGCAGAGAAAGGGGGAAGAAGCACCTGGTCATACTGAAATCCCATCAGAGTTTGAAAGAGGGAATAAAGACTCCTGAACGTTCCTTGGGGTCTCTGCCAACAAGGAGGCACGTCTTAGAACTCCTGCTGTTACAACATCCGACTCTGTGTACAGAGTAAAGAGCCAACCTCTATTAAACACCCATCACAGACCTGTTATTGTGTCTAAGCGAAAAGATCAGTCATGGAAATTAAGTGATATTGCATATGAAGCTTAAATTAAGTCTTGTTGTCTATTATGCTATTTAACAGACAAACTGCGCAGTACTGAACATCTGTTCAGCTGTTAATTTGTATTCCTTACGCTGAACTAAACAGCTCCTAACAACAGCCGGAGCAGCTATCAATCAGAGAGAATAAGTGTGGCTTTTACTTGAACATAATATTGTGCCGATGTATATTGTGTAGGCAGACTGTTGGCATTTTAGTCTCCCTCTCTCTTTATCTTATTTTCTCTCTCTTTCTTTTGGTTACTGCAGCACAATGCAAACCTTCCTTCATCGCCGTCTGCACAATGCACAATGCAGCAGAAGCCTTGAGGGGGTGTGTTTGTTTTGCTTTGCTCTGTGTCTTGTTCCTGCACAGAGGACAGTCATCCAGTCATCAGCGCGCCTGCTCCCCACGTGCGCTGTTAGTCAATTAGAGCTGCCATTAAAGACGGCAGCCGCCAGGGAAATAAAGGCAGCGGCGTGGATTTGTCTGTGCTACGCTGATTTCCACCCCTTAAACCCTCTCCAGACGAGGAGACTGTAATAATTGGGATACTGACAGTGGGTTAGAGGGACTCATTTCCTGCCTTCGTCTCCTCCCCTCCTCTTTTCCATGCAATCGCATCTATCCAATCACGTCTGCCCAGCACCTATACCTTCGCTCTCGATCCCCCTAACTCTCTTTATCTACAACCGCGTTTGGCTGAAGAATTACTGAAGCCTCTCCTCCTTAATCTAATTGCTCTGGGGGCACCGGCAGGAACTCTGCTTCCATGCAGCAACTTTCACAGACTTCACGAAGGGACAAAGATTGAAAAGGGAAACTAGTGCTAAATTCTCCAACAAGTGACCTAAACATGCTTATATTACATGTTCAGTAGAATTTGTTATGTCTCTTGTAAGCTATTGCTGATTCCTGGAATAGTTGTAGTAGTGGTACGTTTACTGCTTGTATCTACACTTCAACCTACCTGAGAATGTTATATTTGTTGTAATTTAAAAGCCCATAATTTAGCAAGATAACAATGCAGGTGTTTGGCACCTGCCTGAAAGCAGGCCAACACTGTGTCTGCAGTGTCCAAACTCACCTACGCACTGTCATTGGCTGAGGGAAACCACATCCAGTATCCACCCAGACACGTCCTAAGTCAACCAAAACATCAAAATCCAGGACAGGGTCTCTGCAGACGCAGTCACCACCACACATGTATGATGGCCGATAAGTGATGACTGAGTGGCTCTACTTTTTCACAAGTCCCTGTTATATGTTTTAGGGTAAAGCAACTGGCTCTATCTTTGAGGAGTTTCTATCACATAGGCATAGTTTTGATGAATATCACATCACCTGGACCTGGAGGAGGACCCCATCAGCATCATGGTTTGGCGCATGTGGATACTGACCGACTTCAATGTTAGGGGAGGTTTGGGCGATAATGTGTTGTACATAAAGGATTCGTTATAATGAATGAAATTAATCAAATCTACAAATGTGGATATCAGCTGTTTAAAATACGGTGCACAGTGTAGTCCTTATAGATATGATTATCAAGAATGTATAGTTCTCAGGCGAGTTTGTTTTGCCAGTATAATGCTTTTTCCCACCATTATTCCCACTGCACATGAAGAGCATGGAGAGTATGTGACAGTTGTGTATCTTTGTCTACTGTCATGCTGTGAGATGTTATGTGTCGACATTTCTCCCTGCAAATCTGGGTCACAGGGCCACACAAACTACGCTGCTTGTTTTTCTACTGCTTTCCCCTTTTTCTCTCTAAACACAGCCATTAACAAAAACCACGACCAAGAGATGAATCAAGCTTTTACAGATTTCTTCCATCCGACTCTTCGCTGCTCTTTATCACAAGCTCCAACAGTGGAGACCCTCGAACTCACAGCAGCATGGGGTTAGATGTTTGGATTACAGTGTCGAAAACACACATGGCCATTGTTCAGGGAGTTTGTGCTTGAACCCATGAACATGTCTTTCTCTGTGCTTCAGTGCAGAGATGATTTTCATACTGCAGTGAGCAGTGAGGGCAAACTGTGTGTCTCTGTGGTGCACCACCATCTTCACAATGCTCTGAGGGGGGAGATGGATCTTTCTTCTCATGGACATCTCTGCTGAAAAGCTGTGGTGTGTCTTCTTCACTCCCAGCTCTTCTCAGCAAACAAACCTAATCTCGCTTGTAAGACAATCGTACAGAGAGAAAGGCCCCTCAGAAAAATTCGATGTGAGCAGCCCCTCGTGCTGTCAATATTTTGACAGATTTTGTGACAGCGTAATTATTTGCCGGGATCCCTGCCAAGGATTTAATTGTTACATGCGTAATTACACGTTTAGTTGCAGGGATGTTGGAACAAAGCTTAGCCAGTGGTATTAATACTACAGTACAAATAGTCTCTTTCATCTTGGAGTCTTTTTACTGTCTCTGTGGCTCCATAATCCGGCTATGAAAGAGGATATCTTACAAACCCTCAGAGGGCACCTCTCACAAATCAATTCATTACCCCATAATATCGGCAGGCAAAGGCGCATCTTTCACAGATCAATTCATTATCCATCATCTGGCAGTTGAAAGGCGGTGACTGACCACAGTTGTGAGCGCTGATATCAGCTTTCAGCGTTCACAAAGATGTACGGAGAGCAGACCAACTGGTGGCAGCTTTTCTTGAAAAAAGAAAAAAGGTTTCCCAACAATGGAGAGAAACCATGAATAGTATCTTCTTTTACTTAATGGCTTTATTTCGTTTCTTGCTAACATCCGCACTTCCTCGTTGTTTGCACCAAGGTTCATAACTATTGTATGGAGCCATAAAATCCATCTCCGTGCGTAGCGTTTTGCTGCATTCCAGAGCTGCACTCTCGGTTAATGCATTCTTTTCATAAAGCTTTAATACTCAGCCAGGGAGCCACGTGATCGAGGAGACCAAGCGACGGAGAAGATCTGTCTTTGAAAGATACTGGATGCGCTTCTGTCGGAGTCCCGACGGTTTGTCTCTGAAGCCTGCAGAGCTCCAATCTATATCGTTCACTGCTGCAGAGGGGATGATGAAGAAGAGAGCATGCAGGCAGTGAAGCTTCTTCTTCTTTTGGAAGTCAGAAATGGAAGGTAAAGGATGCAGTCCCACACCTAGCAATGTCCTTGTTTAAAGGAATCAACATGCCTTCCCTGTAGCACTGACAGCATTTATTTGTATAATCCCATTTAGCGCAACAAAAAAAAATGCATGACAGAGGACACCACTGAGATGTCCCAATCACCACAAGCAGAGCATTACATGTGGGTCAGAAAAATAAGCAGATTTGTGTAATTATGTTGGGATGTGGATTCAGAGTTGCTATCTTTCTGCATGCCGTTTATTGGCCTGTATTCCTCAAGGAGGAGCGTGTTGCCTGTCCTCATTAGTAGTCATTGAACGAGGCCGGGCCATGTTTGTGAGGCAGCACCCATCTCGTTTTCCCCTCCCAGCACAAACACACACACACACACACACACACACACACACACACACACTGGGGGGGGGGGATGTGTTGTAATTACAGGCAGGCATAAGAGAGGCAGCAACAAACTGATCGGAAACGCAGGTGGGTGGTTTGTTGTGCTGGGCAGGAGCAGCACAGCAGCAGTCTGCAGGGGGAACACGCTGTCGTGCTGTTTCCAGTGATCAAGATCTCTGAGCACGTTGACCAAATACCACCTGCCAGAATGCGGATAGGGCACGACACACATAAATGTTGGGTACATTGATGTTCTGAAAAGCCAAAATCGATTTGCCTGCAAGGGATTTCAATAGGAAAATGCAGGGCAATTTTGAAAAATATCCTCTTTGTCCTCAAGGATGAAAGGAGGCTTCCTCCCAACAAAAGGTCATGGAAATTATTTTAGCGATTGAAAATTGCAGTTTGTGCTTCCTTAGAATTTCTGTTAAGCAGAAGATGTGTTACATATGCAGATATAAAAATGTCCCCCGGTTGGAAGGTTTTACAGCCTTTTTATTCAAGATGTGGAAAAAAAAGCAGGAGCGTCAACTCAACATGTCCTGCCAAAAAAAAATGAAATGACACGCTTGGATTTGCAATTCTTTAAATATCTTCCAAAAAAAGATTTTAATCTTAAAGGAGCTAATTGGAGGTTTAATTGTGGATGTGTCTGGATGTGTCTCACCACCCAGAGCAAGACTAATATTTTTAGATAACAAACACTTGAGCATCTCCCATCTTTTTATGGCAGCGAAGTCAGCAAAACCGGTCATGTTTTGTTGTTCCATTTTCAGTTGGCATCAGTGTATTTTTCAGATCAAAGCCTCACCAGAATTAAAGAGAGGATGTCCCATCCAGCTGTGTATTTATGTTGGGAAATAAACACCTAGGAAGGATAATCATTTATATGGAAATATGATGATAGCTTCAGGTGAATAATCGATGCACAGAGTGTAAAGCATTCATCCTGGTTTTAATACACTGTCAGTTTGTATCATCAATTAAAGCAGAATGAATAAATCGAGGAGCAGCTTAAGATGAAGAGAGCTCTGCCAGTAATAACCCCATATTGATTCTATACACCGTGTTTAGATTACTCTTTTATGATGGCAAAGCGGACTGTTTGGTAAAGGCAGCGCAGGTTTATGGAAATCATCATTAGAGCAAACACATACCTCGACAAACGGTCCCGTTCTCCACAGCCTCGTTCCCGGCCTTGCACATGCAGCGTCCGATGGGTACCATCCACTCTCCGTCTCCGTTGCAGTACAGCTTAATGGGCACATCTACCTCCTCGGCGTTGGGGATGCAAACGCCTCTCGCCGCCACCAGGGATGTGCTCTCTGCCCCCGAGAGCGTCTCCTGGAACAGCGCTCCGTTGGTGATGATGCGGGCACACTTCCGGTAAAACACCCGGACGGCGATGAGCGACATGCAGCCGCCGTAGTCCTGGAAGGCCAAGTAGAAGCCGTTTTTTGAAACGGGGCCAAAACTCCGAACCTCCGTGTTGATTTTCATCACTCGGCCCCCGAGGTCCACCTGAGAGAAGCTCTCGTCTGCAGCGATGGTGTCCACTTTAATCCACGGGTTCTCCATCCACGCGGGAGAGTTCCTCGTGGCCGTGTCGGCGTCAGATTCATAGTAGTACAGGTTAAATGTCTCTTTACAGGAGCCCGGCACATTAGGGATGCTACTGCAGTCCCTCACTGAGAACTTCATCTCCACGTGGATCCGCTGAGCGCCTCGACGCCTGATGTACTTTGTCCGTACCCAGTTGTTCTGATTGTTGTCGAAAACATTGCAGACCTGGTACGTCCGGATGGTGTTCATGTTCTCATCATAGCCGCTCACCTCCTCCCACTGTTGGCCAAACACAGACATGCACAAAGAGTTAACATTTTGGAAAGAATGAATGACTTTATTTTGAACCAAAATTTAAAACAAGATGAACAAAAGAAAAAAAAAAGTCAAAAGTAACAGGGTCCAAAAAGGAGAAGAAAGAAGTAAAACATATATATAAGTATACATGTATCCCTACCCCTATGTTACATTTCTTCTGTTAGTTTATAAATTATTTCGACAAATGATCACAATTATTTACAACAAAGGTATCCCCAGTTCATTTGCCCCATAAAATAAATCCCAGTGTATTTACAGTCCTAATATCCACCCAGTGTTATAATATATAAAGGAATACCCCTAAAATAACTTTCCCTCTTCCATCTAAAATGTCTAAAATATATATTTTTTTACACTTGATCACTCTGAAGAGGAGTCTGACTTCAGTGCAAAATGTTATGATTGGTAATTGAAGCACACAGTCAGCCTGATTCATTCCATTAAGTGCCATTGAGCTGTAAAGCAGTGAACGGTCTGCGTGTTTCCTTTTAATATAAACTGTCGTAAAGCCTCCGCTGATGCCTATTTGGCAGCGGGAGCAGGAATGTTTTCATGCACACTTTATAACACTTTGATTACTGGAAGTAATCAGCTTAAGGCTATACTTTGATTAAAATGATTACATGGTGCAGAGAAACCAAATATCTCTAATAACACAGTTTACATGATGCATTAGAAGAGTCTAAACAGGATAAATGAGAAGCAGCCGATCCTCCCGTTCCATTAGATAGCTTGATCAGTGTGTAATATAAACAGCGACAGTTTATAATAAACACCATGCACCTAAAATAGGACAATGCTTATTTCCATCGGATGTCGCTGGACATGTATATAACTCAGGTTTTATAGCATAAATATGTAGAACCACAACTTCATCACTGGTATGGACAAAATCGCACCAATTTGGGTTGAAAAAGAAAGCAAACTTGAGTTAAGAGAAAACTGCAGTTTACTCAAATGGCCACTTGTGGCTGGCTCCAAAAGTGAGTAATTCCCCATTGAGCCCCATCATTAAATGACTATCTTTGGAATCAAATATGTTTTGCCACGACCCCGGCTCGTGGGTAATGGCAAAAGACGGGAGAGGTCAGAATTTTACCAAAAAATAAAAAATAATAATTTATTTCAAAACGATGCAGGTCACATACTGTATGATTCCATAGAGTAAATGAATGTTAGTTTCATTGGAGATAAGCTGGAGCCCTGTAATATCTTTTACTCACTTCCACTCTGTTTTCTATCCTCTCCTCTACTCTCCTATAATTTACTTTCCTTTCCATTCTCCTCTCATAAAAAATAAAATAAAATAAAATCAGCAGCAGAGGTGCACCTCCTCTGTTGGATGCATAGAGGGGAAACACTAATACAAGGCTTCTCACAGGTTACTAACTCAGACGTCCAATTGTTCAGTCAAGGAAATGAAGTTGTTTAACATAAACAGAACAGGCTGAGGACATGCTTTTTACTGTTAGAAACACCTCTTTAGGGTTGTTAAAATGTACGTCTTGGTGCCTGAAAGTGTTGTATCTATGAAAACAGCTGCTTGTATAATGGAATGACTTCTTATTTTAGACTTCTTTGGAATGGGGATATTAACTGTGTGTCATTCGTTACCTGCTGCTTAATACATCAGGTTACTCTGACAGGTTAATCCAACAAAATTCGTAGGCATTATGAGGTTTTTTTCATGTTTATTATGATTATTATTTAAGAACATGTATCTGCAGATAAGGGTTAAAAGTGGTGGTTTTTTTTTTTAATTCACATACACTTATTCATTTATTTAATTCAGGAGAATGTATGCATCTTGGGACATTACAAAGTATAAACCCTGCTTTGAACACGCAGAGCGCTTTGATGTCTCGTTCCTGCTTTCCTGTCGTCTCTTTGAAGAAGCCGCTCACATCCTGTCCTGCTCACAGAGACAACCAGAGACATGACGTTAAGTCCTTTAAACAGAGCAGAGAGGTTCTGCTTTACGTGATAAAGTGCGTTCCTACTTTATTTTATGATGTCTTTACTATACGACGCGTTCACAGCGCACACTTTTAAAGGGTTAATGACATCGCCGTGAAAGTGAAGCACGGAGGAAACCTGATGTGAATTTTTCCACAATCACACTAAAGTGACATAATCACATTATACAGGTAATCATATAGAGAATAAACGAGGGGCACATTTCGCTTCAGATTTGCTGGCTGTGCTGTTCCACTTCAAAGTACACACACCGATCTGAGTCCTCACTCCAGATGCGACCTCTGCGGTTTCCCTTCCCCTCGGCGATGGATCAAAACCAGCTTTAAACACCATGCGCTCTAACCACTGAGCAGGTTATGACCTTGACCTCGACGTCTCAGCCAAGGAGCAACATCGCTCCCCAAGCTCCACCCTCCGCTGCTCACACACCGCTGCAGCTCCGACCCCTTCACTCTCCACTTCACAGCTGATATAATTTCTCAAATTAGAGCCCCCTTTGTGAGGATTCTGACAGTTTTTGACGGGTTGGGAGAAGAAAGAAAGTCACCCTTTCTAGTTACAAAATGGCGTCCTATCAAACACTTTCAGACTAATTAGAAGAGTTCTGATTTTTGAATTCACCATGTCCTGATTAATGCGAGTGTGACACTTGGGCCTGACCGGAACTCAAACCCGAGCTTCACAAGAGCCAACGTATAAATAAAGAAAGACTGAAGTGAGGCCAAGAATAATAAAAAATAATGAGGGTAAACAAAACGCACCTCAACAAAAAAAAGGTTTTTTTTGTGACTCTTGCTTGTCAAAAGTGGTTCCAAATGTGCACAATTAGCAACATTTTACCTTTCAAGAAACAACACTAACAACATGAGGTGCTACAGATGGAATTTAATTAGAAATAAAAACTTGAACACAACACAGCCGCCTAACAAAGTGCCTTTTCTTTGACAATTTGTTGGACTTTTGAAGGCTAATTATATATTATCTAAAATAACTTAAATCAAGTGCAGAGTTTTTATGAATCAACAGAGGACAGGATATGTTTTTTTTTATTTTAAAAAAAATTAAACTCTGTAGCCCTCATTTTATTTTATTCTTTTGCCAAGAATTAAAGAGGACTACTTTATTAACTAGAGCCAGATTCACGATAACTGCTACCCTGCTGTTGATTTGCAGATCAAGTTACAGTAGGTAAGCTACTTTTGTACCCCAATAATAAATGAATAACACATTTTGATCATGAAACTGTAAATTAATGAGTGTGAACTTCTGTTTTTTTTTTTTTTTAAATAATTCATATTCTTTATAATAGCATGAAAAGTGACTTCCTCCTTCAGGAGCAGGTCTCATCCTGCTTTAAAAAACACAAACGAGGAGCACTCTCGAGAGTTAAACACAGTAAAAGGTGCACAACATGAACAAGACCAGAAAGAGACAAAAAGTCAGCACGCAAAAAATTTCCTTTAGGTTTCTTTTAATCCGGGTAAGGCAGCAGCAACAAAAGCAACGGATGCATTTTGGCCTTCATCAGCGTTCAACTTTTTTGCTTTAAACAGATTTTAAGTGAGATTGTTGCAAGTGCTGAATTTTGACGTGTTTTATGTTGATTTATGTTTTCTCATTATGTTATGATGTAATTTATTGTATGTTTCTTGATTTGAATCTTTCTTCTGTTTAAGTCTGTGTAATAGACAATATTCCCACAGCAGCCATGTTGCTGTGACATCACGCTCAGGGTGGGGAACGCTCAAATATTGTTAACGTGTCTTCCCATAATGTTCGAAGTTAAGGTCATGCAGCCGTTGCCAAGCAACTTGTTTTTCATTTCAGAGCTTCCCGACTGATAGGAAACTACAGAGAGAACGGATAATCAAAAATCCATCAAGTCATATTTGAGGTTATAAAAACCCATTTAACAACCCATTAGCCACCAACAGAACAGCGCTAACATTAGCATTCTGCCTCTTGCTATTTATCAATGATATCTGAGAATCATGGACACGATAGAGAAGGTGTTTAGGATATTTAGATTTAAACACTCATTTTGAACACTTTGATATAATCCTGGGGTAACACATAGTGGATCTATTTTAGGCTAACAACATAACATTAACTTTGACTGAAACCTTGAACATGACAACAACATTGAAGCTCCCCGTCATGAGCATGATGTCATGGCAACATGGCCAAATAGATCTATTGTGCTACTGCCTGTCTTGGGCTGACAACTTAAATTCATTAATTAATGAGACCTTACTCTTGGTGAATTTAAGTTTAGATATAAAGGAAAAACAAAAATACAATTCTGTCTCTGATCATTCAAAACACAAATCTACGTGCATGGATTAGAGCATCCTAAAGCTGCATCACATCCTACAACCTCACAAGAGAGGCAGTACAGTTGAGTTTAAATATACCAGGATGTAACAGGCTGCTGAAGCTCAGTGGTGTGCTTTAAGGATAAATGTGTCTTTTGGCCCGTACTGGCAGACATCATCATCCAAGGTCAGGACCAGCCATTGACCTTCCCACTTGTTGAGGAGCGGGGGAGGAGGGGGGGGGGGGGATGTGGGCCAATTAAACAAGAGTGGACAGGCCGCTTCTTGCGAGCACGGAGCGTCGGACAATCGCAGTTTGATAATGTGAGTGTGGAGGCAGGTGGGGGTAGCTGCTAATGAGGGACGCAGACAGGAGAAACTGCAGGGGAAAGTGTTGGCAGTGATGTGTGGGGGGAGGGGGCTGAGCCGGGCTAAAAGAGACCCCAAACAAAATGTGTTTTGATGGAGGGCCCCTTTTTGTCCTGTCGTGGCCTCTTTGCCCCGCTTTCATCACAGCCAGTGGAGGGAAGCAAATGGGGCATAATAAGAGCCTAACGATCAAGCGCCGAGTGTGAAATTAGAAGAAACGTCTTCATTTTCACAGCTCCTTCCCCTCCATCTTTGCTAACGGGTGCTGGAAAAAGGGTGGTCATGTGTTTTTAAGTTCAG